GTCCTCCTCTATAGCGCTCATCCACCTCCACTTCTAAAACGTCCATCGGTCATAATTCTTCGTCGTCACTACAGTTCAAAACAACCGCCGAAACACTGATTGTTTGGAACCGTAGGGATGAAGCTGTTTGGAACCATTTTACTGCTCTTTCTCCACCGTTACCCAGCTGAGTATCCTCGCTATTAACAGGCTATTACGCTTCGTCTGATTGCCTTAGATATATACCAATAAATCTTTTCTATTCGCCTGTGCTACTTCAAAAAACATTACAGAACAAGTACGCCACAACGAATTTTTGAGCCGAGGCCAACTCTCCGGTCGCCCTAACACACGTCTTCTGTACTTTAACATCTGCTTTCCGATCTTCCAGCAAATTTCACAGCTAAAGGACCTTGTATCAAGCTAAAAGCCTGAAATCAGCATTCAAACCCTATTGATCTTTGACCTCTGCTCCAAATTTGGGTAATTTCCTTAATGTTAAGACTAAAAGAATTGCAGGCTTGAAATTTTGGTAGCAGACTTGACAGTGTTCAACACTACAATCAACTTTTGCATTGCATTTTGTGCTGAAATTTTTGGAAGTGTGTAAGGATAAAAACCTGGAAACCAAATTTCAGTCAAATGGTGTTTTGACCTTTGTCCTCACCAAATTCAAGCAACACTTAATGTATATCGCTGTGTTACGTCAGAACAACAGAAGCCAGAATGCGTAAACTCGGGAGCGTCATCTTTGGCCACATACAGACCGAGGCACATAATTAATTTTGCCGCTGTCCTACGTTCTGTCGAAACCAGTTTCAGGGATTTCGTATGTTTTGTTATATTCGCTTGTTGTAAGAACGTAATATGCCAGTATTTGTTCACTAAATAATGCTAACCTAAGGGACAAATAAAGTAACAACAGTAGAAGACCCAGGCTGGAACGCACCAGGCTCTCCAGTGCGATCATGCGTTTTTGCACTAAACTCGCAGATCGCTATTAGCAGGAATGATCCCTACGCTGTAGAGCGTTTTTGCACTAAACTCGCAGATCGCTATTAGCAGGAATGATCCCTACGCTGTAGCCTAACACTTGGGTAATATTAGCCGTGCTTTGATCCTTTCTGGCATGCAGGAGGAAGAACATCAGTTGGGATGAAGGTGGTGCGTTATATAGCCACACGGACATCCAGGTGCATGATTACCGGTTTTTATGCGTTTTTGCTTATATGCAAATTGCAAAAACGCATATTGAGACGACCCCGTCTGTGTGTATGTATGTATGTATGTATGTATGTATGTATGTATGTATGTATGTATGTATGTATGTGTTGTGTATGTATGTATGTATGTATGTATGTATGTATGTATGTATGTATGTATGTATGTATGTTTGTTATTTGTGTGTTTTTTTTGTCTGTCCGGGTATTTCAACTCGGCAACCAAGCAAGTTCCAGCGCCGAGATTTTGCTAATGGATACCCCGGCTAAGCACCACCCCAGAACCGCGGCACCATCCCTCATGCACGTCTGGGCCCCGCGTACGAGAGGAGGAAAGTTTCGGCGGGAAAATTGTTAACTCGGGAACGGGAAAAGATAGAAGGCTGAAACTTTGAGAATATGTGCCCATGTCATGCGCGATCCTCCCATTTTAATATCATCCCCTGCGGACGCCTGGGCGCCGGGTATGGACCCCTTAAAAAATATGCAAATTTTTTGGCGGGAGATCGATCTCGGGAACTACACGAGCTAAGGGGCTGAAAAAGGATATTCCCTGTGCATGTACCGGCTAAAGATTTCAGATTCAGCCCTCAGGTATGCGTGGTACCCACGTAAGAGCGTATGAAAGTTTTAGGGGGAAAATTGTTAACTCGACAACCAGGAAAGCTGGAAGGCTAAAATTTTCAGGGAATGTTCCCAGTCCATATACGATTTAAAGTTATCAAACTCAGCCCCCAGTCATCCGCGGTTGTCACGTATGTCCCCGTGAAATTTTTTGGCGGGAAAATGGCCAACTCGGGAACCAGGAAAGCTGGGAGGCTGAAATTTTCAGGGAATGTTCCAAGTACAAGTACGACATAAACCTATCAAATTCAATCCCCAGTCATACGTGGTTCTCATGTACGGCCCCGTGTTTTTTGGCGAGTAAACGACTAACTCGGGGACCAGAAAAGCTTGGAGGCTGAACTTTTAAAGGAATGTTCTCAGCCTGCATACAGCTTAAAAATTCCAAACTCAACCCCCGGGTATGCTCCTAGGTCACGTGCGGCCCTGTGAAAGTATTGGCGGGAGCCAGAAAAGTTGGGAGGCTCAGATTTTAGGAGAATATTCTCCGTCCAAATAAACTTAAATCTTCAAATTCAGTCTTCATTTACGCGTGATTCTCGTGTACGGGCAA